CGATGTTGATGGGTCGATAGCAAGACATAAGGCGAGATTGGTCGCTTGAGAGTTTCTCCAGAGAGCAGGACTTGACTACTCTAAATTTTTTGCACATGTCACAAGATTGGAAACTGTTCGACTAGTGATGACCTTGGCATGCAAGCAAGGTTGGTCAACATTTCACATAGATGTGAAATCAGCATTTTTGAATGGACCTTTAGAAGAAGAGGTGTATGTCACACAACCATCTGGGTTTGTGATTCATGAGGAAGCAAGTAAAGTATACAAGTTGTACAAAGCGTTGTATGGTCTCAAGCAGGCACCTAGGGCATGGAACAAGAAGATCGACTCATACTTGGTTGAATTAGGATTCGTAAAATGCAAATCTGAGTATGGTGTCTATGTTCAAGTTGTGGCACAAGATATAACAATAATATGCTTATATGTCAATTGTAAGATTGTGCGTGGTCTCTAAAAGGGGTGAATTAGATTTATTGGACTTTTCTCTATTTGAAGTGGTAGCATTGATTTTGTTATTTTTAAAAAATGATATGAAAGTAAATATACTGAAAAATAAATGCAAAAAGTAAAGGACACAAAGATATATCCTGATTCCCCTCATAATCCGATAGTACTCCAGTCCCCTCACTCCTCACAAGAGATTTCCACTATGTCAGATCTTTGTACAAGTCTTCCACCAAGACATATCCTACAATATTTTAACATAAGCAATACAATTAATAAGGACAATTCCCTTATGATCTTTACAAAGTGCAACAAGAGAACAATCTTCCCTTATTCACTCTCTTGCTTCCAACAATCCTGGACAACAAGGAAATTACAACAATATGAATTTTTACAAGTGTTTGAATTTGTATAACAATGTATATAAGTTCCTAGAATTGATTTTCTCTATCAAGTAGGCAATTCTTAATATGTAGTACAAGTGCTTAATGATTTATGTAGTTGAAACTATTTGAAAATGTAATGAAATTGATGTGCAAAAATTTCAATAAAAGGTTATGTCAAGAACACTTGATTTTGAAAATGAGAGAATATAAGTTATGAATTGCTATGAAAGGGAGATGAGTTTGAATTCTGAAAAGTATGGTTTATATAATGCCTTAGCACCTTTCTAAAAGTGTACAAATACAAGAAAAGATGTCATGGTTTAAAAATGCTTTCAAAATTTTGTTTACATCAAAATTTTCATGAAAAAGTGTCACTGGTTCAGTGTTAATCGATTAACACATTTGCACTAGCAAATGGTTAATCGGTTAACCCTTGCAACGTAAAAGAAACACTTTTTGAGAAAATTGTGCAAATTGTGGCAGTTTTAAAACTGAATAGTTAATTTAAAAATCATTTTAAAAGATTCATGAAAGGTTTAAGATGAACATGCATGATTTTTATGAGCAACTAAGATATATATATATATATATATATATATATATATATATATATATATATATATATATATATATATATATATATATATATATATATATATATATATATATATATATATATATATATATATATATATATATATATATATATATATATATATATATATATATATATATATATATATATTTGAATTGTAATGCATATTCAACTATTTTGGTTCTTCCATTTATTTTCCAAAACTTTTTGATAATCTGTAGCGAGACATGAAACAATCAGACTGGTGATTGCAATAGCTGCTAACAGGAATTGGCCTCTGATTCATTTAGATGTGAAATCTGCATTTCTGAATGGTTCATTACAAGAATATGTATGTGTGTCACAACCTCCTGAATTTGTTATATAGAATCAGGAAGAGATGGTGTACAAATTACATAAAGCTTTGTATGGATTGAAGCAAGCGCCCAGAGCTTGAATCTGAAGATTGATTCATTTTTTAAGGAGCAGGGGTTTCAGACATGTGAGATGGAGTACGGTGTTTATGTTCAACATACTTCTGAAGGCAATATGATTCTGGTGTGTTTGTACGTTGATGATATACTGCTGACAGAGAGTTCTGAACAAGAGATAGTTAAGTTCAAGAAGGTGTTAATGAATGAGTTTGAAATGACTGATCTCGAGAAAATGACATATTTTTTAGGGATGGAGTTTATATACTCTGAGAAAGGTATCATTTTGCATCAGCTGAAGTATGAACTTGAGCTTCTAAAGAGATTTAAGCTGCAAAACTGTAAGGCTGCTATCACACCTGCAGATACAAATCAGAAACTGAATTATGATTCTGATAGTGAGGATGTGGATGCTACAACCTTCAAACAGTTGGTTGGTTCTCTAAGGTATCTGTGTAATACCATGCCTGATATTTGTTATGCAATTGAAATGGTTAGTAGGTTCATGAGTAAACCTAAGTGGTTTCATTACCAAACTGTTGTCAGAATTCGGAGGTATATCAAGAGAACTCTGAAGTATGGAGTAATATTCCCTTCTGAAAGAAAGATTGAATCAGAACTTCTGAGTTATTCAGATTTTGATTGGTGTGGAGACAGAGTTGACATAAAAAGTACTTTTGGGTACTTATTTAAGTTTCTGGGAGGTCCTATTTCTTTGTGTTCCAAGAAACAACATGTTGTTGCGATGTCAACTTGTGAAGTTGAATATATCGCAAGCGCTATAACTGCATGTCAAGTTGTGTGGATTCTGAACTTACTGCAGGATCTAAAAATCAAAGTTAACAAGCCTCTGAAGCTGATGATTGATAACAAGTTTGCAATCAATCTTGCCAGAAACCCAGTGTTGCATGGGAGAAGCAAACATATTGAGACCAAGTATCACTTTATGAGAAACCAGGTTCAGAATTGAGTGCTAAAAATTGTACAATGTAGCACCCAACCCAGTGTTGCATGGGAGAAGCAAAATATTGAGACTAAGTATCACTTTATGAGAAAGCATGTTCAGAATTGAGTGCTAGAAATTGTACACTGTAGCACCCAGAATCAGTTGGCAGATGTTCTGACGAAGGCTATCAAGATCGATCAATTTCTTCGCTTAAGGGATGGAATTGATGTTGTCAGTTTTGGGTAAATATAAATTAAGGGATGGTGTTAGAAATAATTTATATTTTACAAAACTTATTGACTAAGCTTTATTATAGGGTAATTTAATACTTTAGTATGTTGCATATGTGGCTCTAATTTTCTGTGCATAAATAGAATAGTGGTAGATGACATTTAATATAATTCTTTCTTAGAACTTTGTAGTCGTTATTTTGCAGAGTATAAATATATTCTCTCATTCTATTCATCTCTTTTAACCTTGTGCACCAACAATCTAGCTCAAGTGATTGATTATGTGCGAGTGTGACAAATCCACGGATTCATTCACACTTATCACGGTAACAAGCCACTAATTTATTAATTGAATGAAAAACAAGTTAATAATTGAAGTAAAGTGAATTTAAAGAGTAATCACCATAAGTACAATGAACAAAAGAGAATGATTGTTGTGATGATGATAAGAACATAGAAAATGATTAATGGAGAAGACAAAGAGATTTAAGAAAATAAAATGAGAAAATTGTGTACATTGTATGCATTGAATGCGCTTTTTTAAAATTTGGTAATTGGGTAGTGAAACAATACTTTAAAAAAATTAAAAAGATGATCTAGTAATGACTATTTATTTTTTAATATATTAATAATTTTTTATAAAAAAATATGTAAAACTATATTATTATATATTATATAATATACAAAATATAAAAGTTAATTAATATGGTCGGAATCGAGAAATCCGCATGACGAAAGTTACTTCTATGATCCCCACCTCAAAGTGTCATTGAGGGAAGTTTATCCTCCATCCTCATTTCCACGGAAAAAATCCTCAACTTTGAAACACCGAACAAATAATTCTCACAGGAATATCCATTATCAAATGCAAATTAACATCGCTACATATGTGTTCTCTAACAATGAAAGAGAAAAGAGAAACTATGAAAGAATATTAATATTTTTATTTTTATTTTTATTTTTCAACAAAACTTTAAATAATTTGTCAAGGGTAAAAATAGAATTTTATTTTTATAATTTTAACAAAATTTATACAATTCATTATTTTTGACAAAATTTAAAAAAATTAGAGATTTCTTAATCTCCGACTTATAATTTAAGACATATAACTTAGGACAGATGGAGAATTGGTAAGATTTTATGGCCATCAAACATGCAATTGAGGCAATATTTATTACAACAGATGCAATGAAGTTGTTATCTCTCATGTTTAGCCTGCAACTCATGGCAAAACAGAGGAAGAAAAATAAATTCAAAAGACCCGCCACAACAAGAGGGCCGGGCTCCCTTATATAGAAGACTAGGCCCAAACAAACCAACCCGGGCCCAAAACCTAAGAGTCTAATACTATTGATACAAACAACAACAGTGCAAAATAAAAGCCATATACAAACTCTCGCAGAATCAGTATAGCACACTGATGTTAGTTCTTTCTGTTTCCAAAATACTCACTCCAACACAAGTAAACACTCATTAAACAAGCAAACACTCATCGAATTATTCATTTACAATACAAAAACGACAAAAGGAAATGAAAATTTGTATAAAGGATAAATCAAATGGGTAGTGGAAAACCTTTACTAGTATTCAATGCAGCAAAATGACCAAAGAAACTATCCCCAGAAAAAGGAAGGGTGAAAAAGCTCTCCATATAATTTGAAATCCTATTTTCTTGTACACTGGCATGGATGATATCAAGCTATTGTTACTGTACAGTTGCACCAGTTATTGTTACCTGGTTCCCCATTGTTCAATGTGCTTGCGTCCTCGTCGCTCATTATTGGTGTAGGTTTCTGTAAAATCTAAACAGCAAAATTGTAAAAATAATGGTACATACCGTTTCTTTATGCTAAACACAAATTTATTTATAGATTAGTTCACCAAAGAAACAAACAGAAAAAGAAAATTGGATCAATGTAATTTTTAAAAAGATGAATGACTGATGCTTTAATTTACTGCCTAATGGTTTGGCAGAAACTACTGACCTTATATACATCGTGAAGCGACAGGATGATCTCTTTCCCTTATCCCGATAATGCGTAATTGCTGCAGCCGATTAGCTATTTCCTGCAATAATTTAAGTCCTTCGCCTCCTTCGCTCAATAAGTTGATACTATGCTCAAGGAAGCTATGGTCTGCCTCAAGAGCTTGTAACCTTTCAATAAAATCGGAAACCACGTTTCTAGTAGAAGATAAATCGCTATTACCACAGAGAACAGCGGAACTACCTTCAGAGTATTCAATTTCACCATTTTGCTTGCAAACTGGAGGCTTCTTGGATGACGGGTCATCAATCATGGTATCTGAACTTAATTTAAACGACGAAAGAGAATCCTCCGTTGGAAGATTATTGTCAAACTTTTCAGAGTTTCCTGGATATTTGTTTCCAATATTTTCAGAATTTTGCAAATTATCCTGAGAATGGTGAGTATTCAGGAAAAAGTATACTTGCTTCTCCAACTTCTTCAAACGTTGGGAAATATATAGCTTTTCATCTTGAAACTCTATTAGTGAACTGTTTACAGATTGAATATTCTTTTCCTCCAAAGACGCGAGTAGAATGTCAGTTTTGTTAGGATTTTCAGCAACTGATTTTTCAGGGACGCTTTCACTATTTTCAGTGAAAGTACATTGTGAATGATCCAATCCAATATCTTTCACCTTCATTTCAGAGTTTTTCTCCACTGTGTTCTCCAACAACATTTCATTAGGGAAACTCTTCCTATAAAACTCAACCTTCGCTTCCAACTCTTCTATCTCCTTCTCCTTCTCGGCAAGAAGGTCATTCGCATTTTGCAAAGCTTCCATTTCATATTCTGATTGCTCATCCATCATCCTTAAGTGCTGCAAGGCTTCCATATGTAATGTCGCCTTTTCTTCCTGCAGTCTAGTGATCATGGCTAAAGCTTGACTTGCAGCAATTGCAGAAGCATTTCTCTCTTCCTCCAGCTCTTTATACAAAGCATTCATAAGTTTCCTGTCATGATCAACTTGTCTTTTAAGCTTGTCAACCGGACTTTCACCTTCAATTTCACCGACAATGCTTCCATCCAGAGACAAACCAGACTCATTTCGCTCAAGCGAAATCATTTTTTGAAGTATCTGCATTCCAGTAGAGTTGGAAACATCAGAACTCTTTGCTTCTTCGCTATTTATGGACAACCTAGGACTTATATCATTAAAAGACATATCAGTCCCTCGAGTGGCAGAGAATTGTGACAACAATATCTTCAAATCTTCATTAACTCTTGAGGAATCTTTCCCGAGCCAATGTTCTGCAAGCATGCCAGACAATTGTCTTCCTCTATTACCGACAGCAAGCTTATAAGCATCCCCAAGATCAAGCAAATTCGGATTTTGTTGACCAATATCACTAGAAACAAGGGATGGTTCTGAAACTTCTTCAGATGCTTTTAGCTTATTGCCTGAATTAATATTTTCTTCCCTGTCCATGATGGGTCCTTGCTCAGACGTCAATCCCTCTTCATCAGTTCTAAAATCATCTATACAAGAAACAATAGCATTATGATTATACTTCAACTTAAAGAATGCAGAAAAGGTTTGTTTAATCGGTATAAAACTAATATACGGACTCAAAATAGTAAACTATAGATTTTTCAGCTATATAAAAGGCCCTATACATTTTTCTCCCTACATCTATAAAATATGATTTGGGTATTGAAAACTAGATTATATAATTTCATCAACTTTCTGCAATGAATTATAACATATTAACACACGCCCCTATCCTTCAAATCCAAGTGTCATAGAAATGCAATCACTAAAATATAACTTACAGATTTCTTTTGATACTTCAACCGGCATTCGTGTTTTATTCGATAATGTAGGAACATCGTTGAAGGGAGTAGCCTCACTTGGAGAGGGACAAACAGCACTTCTTTCAATCTTCTGCCATTTAAGTTCTGTCAAACCATCCCCACTTTCCACTGCTGCTGCTACAGTTTTGATACCACCAATATCTATATTTTCTACTTGCATTCTTGGTTCCGACAACAATGGCTCAAACACAGATGCTGAAGTCCCGAGCTTCCCGGGAGTCAGATCCTCATTTGAATCATCAACACTGGGAAGCTCCACATATTCACACGGAACCCTTGTATCTTCTTCGGTATCATTTGTTAGTGGAACCCTTATATCTTCTTCGGCATCATCTGTCCTATGAACCGGTACACTTACATCATCATCATCCGATAAAGGAACTTCATATTCAGACTCAGTATCAGAATTAATCTTAAGTTCAGTATAACCTACACGCGACAAACGATCCACATGATCATTTCTCACGCGCGCATCTCTGACTGATACAACCGGCTTCGCACTTCTTTTCTCACATAAACTGTTCTCAACATCATCCAACACATCAAAATCAACAGCCCTAGACCGAGTCGTCGATTCAGTGAATACAAAATTCTTATCATAACAATTTAAAACAAATCGCTCACTACAACAAGAACAGTGTCCATCAATCCTCCGGTCACTCGTTCCGAGTAACGGATCCCGATCAAACATGGATCCAGATTCTTCTTCAACCGATTCACCAACCAATAATTTCGAACTCTCGGCATTCGAGTTATCTATAGTCGCAGTAGATAATATGCAAGTTTCACAAACACCTTGAATATCAACAAGCTTATCATGTTTACAACAATAAACTAAAGAAGAAATCTCAGACTTATGAAAACTACAAATCAAATCCAAATAGTAACCTCTTTTCTCTTTACCTAACACATGATCGATTCTTGAACAGAATAAACACGGAGTTTTCAATTTACAGTAAGAAGCAAATTTAGTAATAACGTAAGAGAAAACAGCCGTAATAAAGAGAAAAAGGATCAACAACCATTCAAGTAAAGCTGAAGCCAAACATGTTGAAATTCTTGTGGAAAAATTATGCCACCGGGAAGAAGATGATGAATCTCTCTTCATTATTTGAAACTGAATCAGATCAAACTCCGAAGGTTTTTCTCAGAAAATTCTAGAGAAACAATTTGTAACTGAATGAATAAAATTATAAAGATTGATTGTACAAGTTGATTTTGGATTCATAAAACGGAGCTGTGATATTATTACAGGAACTGAAAAATAAATAATTAGAAATAGAAACGGTGAGAATGAAATTAGAATGAGAAATATTGACTATAATACGGTGAAAGACCAGATCAACCCAAAGTAAACCAACTGAAAAAGGTTTAAGCTTCGCATTAATATTAAGATATTAACTTTATTTCTTTTTGTAAAAAGGAAATTAAAAGTAAGGAAGCGACAAAAATAAAAAGATGTGGTTATAAGCTTAAAAAAAGGTAAAGATCGTATTTTAAATAATAATTCATAATTATAGGTTTGATTTCATTAAAATAATTATAGATTTTTAATAAGCAAACTCATTTTAGAGATTTAATAACAATATATGGATAAGTTTAAGGTTTTTTTTTTTTTAAGTATTTAAAAATTCAAAATAACAAAGATGATTAGTCTACAAATGTTTGGGTTTAATGAATCGGATAAATTAAAAATAAATGTGCAAAAGTATTTTCAAAAAATATCTAATTTGTATTAGTTAATTTTCATTATAATATAAACTCTTCATTTTTTTCATTTCTTTATATGTTAATGTCATAATTGACTTTTTCTTTTTTTAAATTGAATTTTTTATATTAATTTTTATGATAATGATAATACAAACTAATATAATTTATTCGAACAGGTAGAATTTTTAAAATCTATTGTTCAAATCAATTAATATTAAATTTTATTAGTTTAATTCAATTTTTGCACGAACTAAAAAAAATTACAATTTTCATGATAATGATGATACAAATTAATATGGTTTATTCAGATAAACGGGTTAGGAGATAGAATTTTTAAAATCTATTATTCAAATCAATTAACACTAAATTTTATTAATTTTATTTAATTTTCGCACGAACTAAAAAAAATTATCCGACTCAAATACTATAATTTAATTTAAATTCTAATTTAATTCGGATTTACCCAATCAGAGCACTCCTAAAAGGAGTAGCACCCCAAAAAGAGAGTATAATCTTTGTTGTGAGTGCGACAAATCTTTATAAAGTAAGAGAACAATAGGCCGGTTCAAAACATGAAAAAGATAAGTGGTTTCTTGTTGTCTAATATGGCGGCTAGTGTGGCATGGTCGGTGCCGAGGGACCTTATTAATGCAAGGTGATATGGGAAAAAAAAAATATGATTAAACTCTTGATACTTTTATGATAAAGTATAATATTTAAAAAGCTGCCATGAATAATCAGAAAACAAGAGAAATCTAAACAATGGAATGTTTTAGTCAAATAAAAAACACAAGATGAATGTAAAAGTAGTTAGGAATAGTAAATGTAATACTCTCCATCCGATCATATCTTTTTAAGAGTATTATATTTATACTTGCCTAAGAAAAACTAATCAATATTATTTTTCAAACAATAATTTTCTTTTTTTACCTATAATATTTTTAATTATTTTTTCTATTTTTTTTATTTTTTCTATTTTTTTTTAATAAAGAAACTTTATATAAACCAAAAGAAGAGAATATACAAGAGTATAAAGTATCCCATCCACAAAACAACCAAAAAACCTCAACCACTATAAGTAATTGAGCTATATGATGTCTCATTTTAGTATTAACCCACCCTCTATTTGCAAGGGTAGAAATGACTAAATCTCTAATATCTAAAGTATTCACCGTATTGCCAAAGACGGCGTTGTTACGATACCTCCAAACTTCATGCATGGTCTCCGCTACAGAACTACGCAGTATGCACTTTCTCCAGCCTTTCCCTTTACAATGTGTGATTAACCATTCAAGTTCTTCACGTCATTCACAAGGGAAATGTTGAAACCCCAAACACACCAGAATTTGTTGCTAACAGGTTTTAAACGGCGGACAATCGAATAAAAGGTGGTCAATTGTTTCCTCCTTGTCGCAGAATTTACAGTTGTCGTCGGTCGTAAGGCCAAGTCTTTTGAGTCGTCCCCTTGTCGCAAGTCTACGGTGGCAAGCCATCCACATAGTAAAAAGGGCTTTCGGTCTAGCAATAGTGTTGGATAACATGTCTTTCCATCCAACATCAGGATCATCCTTCTTGAGGTACTGGTACACTTTTCGCACAGAGTATTTCTCCTTCATTCCGCTCCAATTTTCCATGCCAATAATGATGAATCTATGTCTAAGAATAGCTTTTAAAATCCAAGACATACCCTATTTTTCCTGGACCTGCATAATATCTGTAGTTTTGAAATAAAACGTGTGGATCCATTTCACCCAAAGAGTATCCTTTTTGTTGCAAAGGTTCCACAGCAGTTTTGTTAAACAAGTCGTGTTCCATTCTGATAAGTCCAACACATCTAGACCGCGCTTCCTCCGAGGTTTACAGACCATCTTCCACGCAATTGGGAATTTTCTCGACTTTTCCTCGCTACCTGTCCATAGAAAAGTCCTGTAAATAGAATTAATGGTTTTAATCACATTCTTGGGGAAAGGGAGACAACTCATCCAGTATGCTGCTATAGCAGTAATGGTACTATTAATTAGTTGAAGTCTTCCTGCATAGCTCAATAATTTGAAGCTCCAATGACGACTCCGGCTACCAATGCTGTCCACCAAACTCATATAATGATGCATTGAAAGCCTTTTACAGGTGAGAGGAACCCCAAGGTAACGAAAAGGTAAATCCCCTTCCATAAACGAGGTAGAAGCCAAGATGTCATTTTTGATCTCATTATTCAACCCCCCCCCCCCCCCCTCCCCCGAAGTACACCCTACATTTCGCGGGGTTAACCAGTAAACCAGTGGACTGGGAGAACGTTTGCAGTTGATCCATAAGTAACTGAACAGACTTGTTATCCCCACGGGTAAAGTGGAGAACATCATCCGCAAAACTGATATCAATAATTTGCAGCTTTTCGCATTTTGCATGGAAGTTGTAGTCAGGGACCTTGCTTAACTGGTGTAGGAGCCTGTGGAAGTACTCCATAGTTAAAACAAAAAGAAGGGGGGATATAGGGTCACCTTGTCTAAGGCCCCTTTTAGCCTTCAGGCTTCTAGTAATTCTGCCAGCAACATTGAACTTGTAAGACACTGTTGACACCGCTAGCATAATCCATTTGGTGAATTTGTGAGGGAAGCCAAATTCCTTGAGGATACACTCTAGTGCATACCAGTCCAGGGTATCATAGGATTTTTGGATGTCAAGTTGCAACAGACAACTAGGAGTACCGTCTTTTCTGTTGTAGCCTTGGATTAGCTCGTACGCTAATAAAATATGATCATGGATGTTCTGTCTAGGGATGAAGGCAGCCTGGCTTTGATTGATAATAATGGTAAGAACCTTGCTCAATCTTCTAGTCAAGATTTTTGATATAATTTTGTAGAATGTAGTACAGCAGGATATCGGTCTAAAGTCCTTCACACAATTACCACCATTACCTTTAGGGATCAAGGATACAAGAGTACAATTAACAGCAAGGTACATCTTGAATTTGTTGAAAAAAATCCATAACTGCAGCAATGGTATCCTTTTTAATGATACTCCATGAAGCTTTGAAAAATTTTGCCCCAAAACCATCAACACCAGGGGCTTTCAGGTCACCAATGTCATGTAGAGCACTATAAATTTCTGCTTCAGTGAGGGGACATACCAACATATCTTTCTGTTCACTAGTAATGTGAGGATCATCTCTCATTGCAGTCAAGTTTATACCCTCCATGTCATTATTAGGACTACCCATGAGGCTGCCATAAAAAGACAGCACCTCATTCTCAATGTCCTCAGTCTTGCTAAGGATGTTACCTGCCACAGAACACAGCTCAGTAATATCTCTGCTGTTTTGTCTAGCTTTTACCTGGGCATGAAAAAACTTGTTGTTGCCATCTCCCAGTCTGAGCCAACTGATTTTAGACCTCTGCCTAAGCACCTGTTCCTCAATTTCACTCCAATAACAAACCTTAGTTGATCTAGTTTTAACAAGGTAAATAACTTCAGGGTTATCAAGGTACTCCCTGAGCTGCAGCTGGGCCTCCTGCAAATTCTGTCTTGCATTCTTGAGGGCAGCAGTGGCACCCAACAAAGGTTTACTAATCTTCTTCACAACATTTTGGCTTCTAAGCAGTTTCCTCCACATTACATACATGGGACTACCCTGGATAGAGACATTCCAGCTATTAGTAATGTATTCTTGAAATCCCTCAACCTCAGTGGAAGAGTTAAGGAACTTGAACTAGGGGGTTCTATTCACAGTATTTTCAGGATCAGAAAGCAGCAGTAACGCATGATCAGAAATGCCAGGGGTAAGGATCTTAAGGCACATACTAATGTATTTTTGAAACCACTCAGTGTTAGCCAGCCCATGGTCAATCCTAGAGTGAATGATATTGTCACCTTGCCGATTGGACCATGTGGAATAATCTCCAACAATATCAATTTCACTAAGGTTACAATTGTTCATCATATCAGTTAAATCTTTGTACTCTTTCATCTACACCATGGATCCACCTCTTCTATCAACAGTCTGAACAACATTGTTAAAGTCACCCATAAGAAACCATGGCCCCTGTTGGTTATGGTTAATGTGTTCAATATCACTCCACAGATTCTTACGATAATTCAATTTGTTTGCGCCATACACTGTTGTAAGCCAGAATTGAAAAATACCCTGCATATCATAGACACCACAATGAAGTAATTGCCCAGTGCTAGTGACTTTCCTGATTTCAGTCTTAGCATTGTTCCACCAGATCCGTATTCTTCCATTAGCATGATCAGCATAGTTATCCAAAAACGAACCTTTAAGCTTCATTTTGCACCTAATTTTGTCAGCCTTATCTTGCTTCACTCGAATCTCTAGCAAAATATAAATCATTGGGTTAAGGGAACGGAGGCGGGAGCTAACCTCTTTAGTCTTACCATTTTATTCAGGCCCCTCACATTCCAAGAAGACACTATCATTGATTAGTGTTTTAGCTGCTTCCAGGGTCATTCAAAATCCCGTCAGCCCAAAACCATTTTGGCATTGGATAGTCTCATCCTCATTGACAGTTTCTTTTACTTTCCCTTTGATGTTGCTCTCATTCTCATCATCATATGATCGTCGTCCATACCTCATCATTCTGTTGGATATCCTTACTAGTGTCCCCTATTGCTGTTGTTCCACTTGAATTACCATTGGCTTGCACCCTTTCCTTTTGTGTTTGCTCTATCACCTTCACCTTCCATTCTTTAGCAGGCTTAGAAGGCTTATCACAATTACGACCGACCTTATGGCAACGTTGGCAGTAAAATGGTTTCCACTCATACTCAATCGGCTGCTTCAGTCGTGCACCTTTTTCGTCTCTTATCAGAATGTGTGTCTTTAGCTCTTGTGTAATGTCAATTTCCACCAGGATACGAGCATATGAAACCCTGAGCTTGTTTGTCGTGCATTCATCTGTTACCAGCGGTGTTCCTAACGCACTGCCTATTTTACTAAGGCTCTGCGCGCCCCAAAGATGTAAAGGTAGCTGGGGTAGTTTCACCCACAACGGAACTGTTCTAAGCATATCCTTGTTCATACTAAAATCAGGTTTCCACTCACGCAGCATCATTGGTCTATTACGGGTTAAGTACGGCCCCTTCATCAAAACTAGGTCTTTGTCTTGGAATGAGTGGAATCTAAGGATGAAGAATCCTTCCTCATTATAGAACATATCAGGTAACTTCACAAAATTCCAGCTCTTGCTCATAAACTGTTTCACCGCATTCATGCTGAGGTCCACACCCAAGGCATACATGATGAGGGTAGATTCCCAGAATTTCACTTCTTTTTCAACATCTTCCTCTTCAATTTGGATTTTCATTTCTCCATCAATAATCTTTGGTGCAACGAATTCCATGGTGAGACCCTTCGCCGGATTACGATTCTCATTGATGATATCAACCCATAGTTTCTTCGTTTGGCTAGCTTTCACCTCCATTCGTTCTTCAGGGCTTTGATGACCTAGGTTTTCTGTATCAGTTACATTCTCTACGTCCTCCTCTGCCAGACTACCATTTTTCACTGAGTCATTTCGCCCTTCATCGTCCACAATAGTTTCCTTTTCCGTGGCTTGCTGATCAGAGATGGACGCCGTAGGATTGCTTGTTGACGGTGGCACCAATCGTGGCCGCCCACGTCCTCTCCCTCTCCCACGACCCATTTCAAAATTGTGAGTTTGTTTCAGCCGTAAATTTTTTCTATCTTTAATAATTACCTAAAAGTAGAGATGTCAATGAAATCCATTTAGATAATATTCATCCAATCTATCCAATAATTTATCTAACCAATCCATCCATAAGATAAAAAATAATTTAATGGATTTGATCCAATTCATCCACTAACTCATATGGATGGATTCAATCCATCTATCTCATTTTATAAATTCATTGGATATTATGTTGTCACTTATTAAATTAAAAAAATTTAAATTAATTTTTTAGATGGATGGATATCCATCAATTAGAAATATGTTAATGGATGGATTGGATGAATTTTATCTTTTAATGGATGAATTTGATGAATTTTATCTTTTAATAGATGGATTGGATGAATTTTAGTTTTTAATGGATGGATTGAATTTTTATTAAGAGAGTTTAGTAAATTGTTAATGAATTAATGAATTGCTTTAATCCATCCATTAACAATTCAATCCATATCCATCCAATCCATCCATTTTGTCACTCCTACCTAAAAGTAATTTTAACAAAAAATACAATTAATATTATCTCAAATTTTGCAAATAACAATTCAAAAACAAAATTATCAAAAAAAAAAATAACACTTAAAAAGAAACAAGAAACAGAGAGAAGATTAATAGAAATAGAAGAGAGGGGTGATGTTTTTAATCTCATGCTTTAAAAAACTTTATTTCCCATTAAAACTAGGTTATTTTCTTATTCTAAATTAGGTAATCACTCTGCCAAAAAAAGGTTTGGTAATTAATCATGACTAAATTGATTATTTAATAGTAATTCCTTTGAGTAGGATTAGACATTAGGCATTTCGCCCAACCGTCCTCAAAAAAAAAAAACAAATAACATTCTCGACACATCAAATTGAGCTGCATGCTCGTTGTGATTTCAGCTAGTAGTTAACTAGCATGCGATTTATATAAAGTTAGGAAGAAGGAACACATGCACCACCAACTAAACACTATCCATAGAACAAAATCACAGAACATCATAGAACATGTGAACAATACATTAGAAGACCATGAAAAGTGTGTTTGACCTTTCCAAATACCAAAAGACACAGAACACGGGTGCCAGACAAAAAAATCACATTTTTTTATATAAAACAAAAACAAAACATGTGCGCAATGTCTAATAGTTGATCAATCATTACACTAAGCCTATATGTTCGGTCTGGCTGTGGTTTGAATGCTGCTGCGTTTAGTGAGAAGCTTGAATGACTAGCTTCAGCAAATCATGATCAAAAGAGCATTAGGACGCAATTAAGTAAATCAGGACGCAGAACCAAACAAGCTATAAATCTGTTACCAACATTCAATATTTCAATAATGGCAGCTTTAGTTCTACTGCCTCGTCATTAGTACCCATAGTTTGCACCATAAACTGAGCCATAGCCTCCAGCATGTCCTGGATTGGAAGGTGGAGACGCATATACAGAACCATGAGCAGGGTAAGAGTTGTATCCTTGGTCTGCAGCAGGGCCGCCTGTTTGTTGCTGCGCTGGTGCGGCAGCTGCAGCTGCAGCTTCAGCCATAAAATTCTGCACCAAACATTCAGGATTACATTGCTAGATAACAAAGCAAATAAATGATGTTTAATTAAACAGTTCTAACATCCAAAACATGCATCTAGTGAGATATCACCATACGGCAACAAGATGTGAAAAGATAATACATGAAATTTGAAATAAAAAAGAGAAAAGATTGAAGATAGTTTCCCTGCATCAAAAAATAACAGGACGAATACGAACAAAATTACAAGTTAATTACTCAACTTATTATTCATAATACTCAAGGAAGAATAATTGTTTAATTTGGAAATTGGAGAAGCATGTAGTTTCCTCATCTCTATTTTTTATATAAAAGATAAATCTTGAAAAAACATTGGCGTAAAATGACTCTTCAGGTCTCCAATAAACAACGCAATAATTTTTCACTGAATAATTTCATAGTATAAATCTAAAGCAAATTTCCAAGACATGCAGCATCAGCATCAGCATGTTTTTAAAACTAAAGTGCCACATCAGCATGTTTTTTAAATGTGACACCAATTAATTTTTCCAACCAGACCTCCAAATTAACAGTCTGTACCACTTCCAAGTCATTATGCTACACTATATATTTATAACAGTGACAATGGTTAATAAGGACAATTTTGTACAATTACAACAATATTTGTTATGCATTTACAGCTTCTTCCTAGTCTGGGGAAAAATTTAGGACGGTACTAATATTGGAACGGAGTAAATCAAAGACCAAGATCAGGGGATTACCTGTATCAATTGCTGTGCTGTTTGAACTTGAGAAGCAGTACCACTGATTTCAACTGTCATCTCCCCAGGAACTCCTCTTGTTTCTTGTATGGTAACAGTGGCCCCGCTGGCTCTTCTGATATAGCTTATATTTGTTCCAGCCGTTCCAATAACAGCATCAGCATATGATAGAGGAATTTGCATTTGCTGGGTTATCTGTGCCACAATAGCAAGACAAATTTTATTGATAAAAATGTATAAATTTATAGGAGCACTTAAGCCAGTCAAGACTCGTGCCCATATCCAAACTCTCATTTTGAAGCCTAACTTAAATTATCTGTCACCCATTACACCAATCACATCTATTTTCAATAACTGAAGATGACACTTGCAAGGTATTAGACATGTTATGTTTAGCTTCAACATTTCAGTTTAACATCCAAGTGTGCAAGCTAACATCATCTTTTGCTGTCTTAAATCTAAAAGGAAAGTGGAAAGCAACAGCAAATCTCAATCAATATTGGCAAATTCCACAACTAGCCTTTACCACAGCTATAGCACAGAATTCAAGATATCCTTTTGGGAATTACTAAAAAAACAAATACTCCCTCCAATTCAAAATGACCTCGTTTAAGGTTTTTGCACACAGATTTAGGAATACAATAATATTGTCACAAGACATTGCACCTATACTAAATTAGTAGTCTTACTAATGTGTTGGAAGTAGTGTGCAGAGTAATAATTAATATACACAATTGGAAAAATAGTAATCATTTCTACATCGAAAAGTGAAAATGACATTCAGTTTAAACAATTTTTTATCCTTAAAACGACAGTCAGTTTGCAACAGAAGGAGTATGAAATAATAACAAGTACCTGTGTAACCATGGAAGGTGCGGACTGGGTATTGGAAGATGTGTGAACACCTATTGAAGCATCTCTTCCATAGGCAGATATACCATGATGGGGCTGTTTGTCCAATGGAATTGGCATTTCAGCTGGTGGATAGTAATTATCAACTTGTCGCGGAGGTGGCATGAATTGAGTGGCTCCAAAACCAGGACCTCCCCCAGCATTTGGTGGGAAACCCTGAGGTGGACCCCATGATTGGTGGGGTGGGGGAACTGGCATGTGCTCTATGTGATGGGTATTATTAGCCATTTGCATCTGGAGAAAGATCAAAATTAGTTGCATTTCTAGGTACGAATAAGATAGATTCTTCACAAGTGTAATCTGAATGCTTACATTCATTTCAAAAATTGGAATTATGCTGCGATCAACTAAAAATTTCTTAAGGTGGGATGCAATCATCTCTACTGCCTTGTGCACTCCGGCGGATTCCCCTACTACTTCAACCACCCTGTCATCTTGAAGGGCAAAAACAGGAAGGTCTTCTGCAAACAACAAAATAGAGGTGCAAGATGCTAAGCAACTAGAGAATGTCAAACAGTCCATCCAAGGACCAAAATGGAAAGATTGAAAAAAGCTTAAAATTTCCACAAATTCTTAATTTAAAAGCATAAATTACATAAGATTACAACCAAGTTATTGGGTCCATAATTCAATCATGCTACTCCCTCAAATTGTATCTTAGAAATAATTTCTAATAAAAATGGATAAACAAGAAAGATTTCAGACAGACAAAGTTTAAAACTACTTAGATGAATTAGACTAGAATGTCAAAAATGAGAACATGAGTATTTTCCTTGCAGCTGAATTAATCAATGAACAATTTTCTAACTTATTTAAGTGGTACTGCTGATAGAAGTTACTGATGCATATTTGTGTACCAAAAATTATAACAAAACACTGCTCAATAATATAAAATGACAATCCACCAGCCAGATTTGAAAGTTTTAAAATGAAATATTAGAAGAAACCTGCTCCAAGAACTCTAACTATACAATTTGATGCTTCTTGGATAGATTTTACAGTTCCTCCTTGCTTCCCAATTAAACTTCCAGCTTGTGATGCTGGTACTAGTAGTTTTGTAGAAATCTTCACGGGCGCACCTGAGGGAGCATGGGCAGCCTCACTTTCTGACCCATCAATTAACCGCTTGTGAGCCCTCAATAAGCCATCCACGGCAGGTGGAAGAGCAGAACCAGGCTCATCTTTAGCTGATACCATTACCTAATCAAAAAGAACAAATAACACTGTCAGCCTACCTTTGCTCTTAACATTTCCTCTAATGTATATATGTAAACATGAAGACAGAATATGGGGTCAAACAACAAAAGTTATCATTAACCAGCAATAACAAGCCGTGGGAGCACTAAATACCAAGCACTTTACATGCTATGCTAACTACAATTTTAGGATCCGCAAGATGACATGCAATGCAAGCAAGCAATTTTGATTTTTAAAAATGTAACAATAAATTAGGAGATTCAGCAAAGCAGCCAATACTCTTTCAACATAATTTCTTCCACAATTGATACATATATTATCATTACCTGTCAGCAAAGTTCCAGAAGGAATCCTTCACCGCCAGACAAGTTTTGTAACAGTCCTAAAGGTCGCATTATATTTAAGAGGAACAACTTGTTAGACCTTCAGAATTACTAGGAACCATTTCTATTCTGACAAGCAGTTATTTTATTAGCCGTTACTATTTTATCTTTCTGCCAGTTACATTTTATTAATTAGTTAATTAAGTGTGTAAGTTCTATAGGTTGTTTTTTTTTTGACTAAAAGTTCTATAGGTTTTTTTTTTAAAACTAAAATAGCTTGTGGAATAAAGGGAATGGTGAAACAAATTCTTGTGGTGAACCAACCATTAAAAACCATGACAATAGCAGGGCTGTGACATGTGATCCTGGACATAAAAGACATCCACAAACTGTTTTCAGAGCTGCAAGTTCCACATGTGAGGCAAATCAGTCACAACCAAATTTTTTCAAAGGCAAAGGCTTTAGAAGGTTGACAGATGTAGAATTGCAAGATAAATCACTTAAAGGATTATGTTTCTGATGTGAGGAGAAGTTTAACCCTGGACATGTATGTGCAAACAAACAATTCCAAGTCTTGCTATTGGAGGAAAATGTGGAAGATGAGAACTATGGTGAGAAACCCAAGGAAGTGGGGTGTGAATTCAAGTTCTGGGACCCCAGGGGGGACACTTGGGTAACCCTTCACCTTGAGGACAAGGTGAATCTTTAGGGGGGGAGTATTGTTAGACCTTCAGAATTACTAGGAACCATTTCTATTCTGCCATGCAGTTATTTTATTAGCCGTTACTATTTTATCTTTCTGTCAGTTACATTTTATTAATTAGTTAATTAATGTGTTTAAGTTCTATTTGTTAAGCTCAATAGATAGGAAGATAGCAAGGCATAGTGGGTTCTCAAGGAGTTAGTGAGTGGTTATTGGGAGAGACCCAACTCTTGAATATTTTGGTAGGGAGAGATCCAAGAGTCTCGAATCCTTGGAAGGAACCAAACTGGTCCTGTCATTCTGTTTGTGTGTTATATCTCTATATTGAAATTCTGTAATTTTATTGTTTAAAAAACTAGTTTCTATCACAACTCTTGCCACCTAATGAATCTACATTATTATTTAATCTAGCCTCCTCCAAATGCAATGTTTGAAAAGTAAAATGTCAAACTACTTTTGGTTAAGTACCAAATGCGGCAGCATGTTGGTATCCAAATAGATATTACTGAAGCACTGTTTAAATGAGGTTCTAATAAGCATCTATTATCAAGAATAAAAAACATGGAGAGTTCTAAATTATAGTTTTGAAGATTGTGTGTTGTAATTTTGAAGATTTAAAATGTATATCACCAAGGATGTATCTTCTAATTTTTTTTACTGATCAGAGTTTTGATTCACTATAGTGCATTTGGTTGATTATAGGAATAATATTCCCAACATTAGAACTAGTGATAACGTATAAACTAAAAGACATATTCCAGGTGTTAAAATTAAAATGAATTGATACCCTTTTGTTAATCTTTGAATCATTTTTTCTTTGATAACATATATGATAAACAAAATACTTAAGTTTTGGTATTTATTGTTTTCAGTATTGTATTAGAGCTGGTAATAAACTTCTTTTCATTGCTAGGAATCTTTGGCAAGACATCAATCATCCAGGTTTTGAATTTACCAGCTGGAATGCAGAGCTTCGTGGTGTGTTGATATAAAATGACTAAATGTTAATACACTTTCAGCACTTCGCAATGCTCAATGCTGACCCTGCATCTGGAACTTTGGTTCTTCAATAATGGGATCTAATTGATGATTGAGTCGTTGCCTTTAAAAATGGAATACTGAACCTGCACAGATTCATTTTCTGTTAGAATTAAATTCATATTTTGTGGATTTTTTCCATCATTTATTTTCGAATTTGTTTCATCTTCTTCATTTTAGTTATTGTGTTCATTGTATTACATGAATAAGGTTTCACTTTGTTCAGACTATAAACAGCTATATTTTTAATTTTTACAATTTTCTGCCTAAGAGGACATTGCAAATTAAAATTGCTTATGGAAAGACATTCAGAATCTATTCTTCATAACATCTTAGCCAGAGAAACACACAGAATTACAATGGACAATTACTATGAATTGCTTCATACACAAACTCCAGTTCATCGAAAAGAATTAAAACTCTAATAGCTATCCTTCAATCTCCCAATAAATCCTAATTCTAATCTAAATATTTACAAGGACCCAAATCAAAGTGGTAGATACCTAACACACACTTAAATATTTGCCACATTTGTTCTTTATCTCAGAAATTGAGACACTGCACATCAGCACATACAGTTTTCACTTATTTATTAAACATGCACTCATCTAAGAAGAGTAGAAGTATGTATAAAAGATATAACTGTGCCATCATTGTAAGTAATGAGTAGAGTAATTGCAGATCTCCATAAAAAAATTGATAGCATGAATATTATTCTACTAGTCTAATCAATGATAAACTCAGGCACAATTTAAAACTACAATCTAACCTAATGAATCCTTAAAAAAAATAGTGGAAATAAAAAAGGCACAAAAGGGCTTTTAATAAAACACATTTCCGATTAATGCTACCGAGATACAAAATGCAGCTAGCTAGTTAGCAATGAAGATAGATACATCATACAAGCCGAACAGAGAAATTACAGTGTGATGTAATGCGAAGAGAATTATATAAAATACTCACAGCCCTTTCTGAAGTTCCGGGAGGACCGTCGAGAATCTTTACGCGAGCCCGTGTCTCCTCTACAATTTTCTTAATAAACTCTCCTTTCCGTCCAATTATACCCCCAACTTTTTGAGCAGGAACCAACATTCTGAACACACTCTCACCTGGCCACCCTGGCCATTTCTTTTCAGGCTCAACAATCGGCACATCAACCACCGTTTCATTCTCGTTCTGTTCAGTCTCAACTATTTCTGGTGCCTCAAATTCACCTGCGTTCTGATCAACTTCAGCCATAGAATTTTCACTGCAAAAACAAAATCATTCAAATTACATCGCATGTTATCTAGAAGTAGAAGCGGCGATTGAAAAGAAAAGAGAGACTAGATCTACAAAAGATTTATCGAGGAAAAGCCATTGAACAACGAGAACTACTGAATCAGTAGCTTAACAGTACAATAAATACATGCATGTAAATAGATGGATGAAACGAACATGGTGAGTATCGGTGGTGAAAATTACCTTGATTGCGGGTAGAGCTGGGAATTTCGAGTTAGAATGAAGGAATCTAGGGTTTTGGGTTTGGGGGAACGGGAAAGAGAAAGAAAAGGCAAGGGAGTGGAGTGGGAGTAATGAGAACTAAGCTAAGGATAATAGATGATTGTGTATGGGAAGGTATATGTATTTATTTTTTATTTTTTAAGATGTCCATAAATAATCTAATTATGCTAAAATGAACAATTTTTTCTAAATTGAACCAAAGAACCATATCGTTGAATTTTTGTTGAAATTTAAAAGAAAATAATAATAATTCAATTCCATTTTGAATTGTTTATGCAATAAGTCTTAATTTAATAATTAAATATAACGGTTCGGTTATTTTAATCTCAGTTCGATTTGATTCGAACGTTTGAATCGGTTCATAATTTTTTGAACAGCCTTAATCAAAATTGTAGAAGAAATAAAATAAGGACAGTGAATTTTAAGAGATGTTTTGTCGAAAATAAATTTTTAAATTTTAAACATTACTGGAATGCTTTTGTTAAAAAATAGTTTAATTTAAAATTTGATTTCCATAAATTTTTAAATTTTGTAGTTTGGTTTGTCAATTTTTAAAAATCTTTATTTTCACTTGAAATAGAAAATAAAATTATAAAGGCAAGGTGATACTCGATAGGGAGTAGTGAAAATGAAATGAAAGATGATAAATAATAGTATTGGATTATATTTAGGTGCGATAGCGATAAGGGGTGTCTTTAGGTAAAACTTTGCTTCACAGGTTGCATCAGCATTCATAAATGAAAATTTTGTCGAGATAACTAACCACCCTTCTATTTGATTGAAATCAACTGAACTTGTGACTTAAGAGGGGGAGGTCTACAAAGTTCATTTTTTTAGTGAATTTTTCAAAAGCACCATATGCGAAAAAAACCTTTTCAACTGTACTTATAAAAAAGTACTAAATGTGTGGCACCCTGTACAGGTAGGGTGCTCAGAGGCCTTAGTAATTTGTTATGGGTTAGGGCTTGCTCAAGGTGATGGCATACCATGTTTGGTGGTGTTTACGGTGATGAGAAAACAAGCTCAATGGGGTGATAAGGTATGTAGTTATAGGGTATATTGTGTGTATTACGATTTCTCTCTCTCTCTCTCTCTCTGAACCCTAAGGTTGAGGTATTTATAAAGGCTTATGAATCTATGTTTTAGGGAACTCCTAAGAAGTGGTAAGTGTTCCCTCTTAATTAGGGGAGTTGTTAACCAACTATTTCCCGCAGAGTCATGGGCATGACTTCGCTCATGAAGTTATAGCTGGATAAATGTTCTTATTCACGTTTCCCCCTGGGGCGGGCCCTATGCCATGTCAAGGTTACCCTTCATGTGACGCGTCATGGGGCTAGCGCCTGTGAGGGATATGTGTCGCCCTATTTGAGAGTCCTTACAACAATATCATTATATAGTTCCTCAAACACGAGGGCTTGTAAAGGGAAGAGTGTCTTAAGTTTTTCATTTCATTCAGTTGGACTATGTGGTTAGGGGCAAGTCCCAGATTAGTGGTGAGGTCTTTAATTGGAGGCGAGTCCCTCGGCTGTTGAAAAGTATTTTTGGGGTGTTTTGTCGTATCCACAGTGATTGTAAGTAAGATATCTATGTTAGAACACAAATTGGTTCTCAATAATATTTCTATGTTTTGATGATAACTATTATGAAATTTTGTAATTAAGAATTATATACTCTAAAATTTGCTTAAGAATGTTTGCTGCAGATATTAAAGTAAATATCACTCCAAAAGCAAATCAGATCTGAACATAAGAAATATGTTAGACTCTGAAGCGTCAGATGCACCCATTAGAAGATTCTGAACGTTGCCATCAGAAGATCCTGAGCGTTGTCTCCAGAAGGATCTGAAGCAGAAGCTCCAGAAGAATCTGAAGCAAGTCAGAAGCATCTGAACCAATGAAGAATTATGTATGAAGAGTTTTTCAAGCATAGTTAATTCATAAGACTCTGAAAGTACTAACGCTGTCAGTACTGAGGATCTGACTCAAAACTCTGCTATGAACTTATACACGCTAAAAGCACACTTGCTGCAAAGACTCTGATTCAGCAAAACTCTGATCAACATCAGAAGGCTCTGATCAAATTAGACTCTGATGATTCTTGCTGAAAATTGTTGAAGAAGAATTCAAATATTATGTCTGTTGGAATATCCAAACGACTCTTTCCTTATTTATGCTAGACACAAGAACATAGACAAAAAGGATTTTTCTGTGCTTTCTTCTTCTAGGAAAGGTCACTTGATGTGAAGACAAAAAGGGCTCAGACCTTTTAGTACACACTTCTCAACGTGAAAAGCTCTTGGACCACTGTGCCTATAAAAGCAAGTTTCCACTCATCTTCTTCAGTTGACGCATTACTTGAAAAGAATTCATTATCAAAGCTCTCATACAACTCATATTCTTTCTAGAATTAATTTCTTTGTTCTTAATCTTAAGTGAAAAATCACAATTGTGATAAAGCTTTATTAGAAGCATTTTAACACTTGTATTTGTTATTACATTTGATTGTAAGAAAACCTTAAGAAGATCCAGTTAGGATCAGTAGTTCTTGAGAAGACTTTGAACAGTTGTTCTTAGTGCTTACTATTGTAATCAGTTGATTAAATAGTGGATTAAGTCCTTGTTTGAGAAAGGCAAATCACTATAGGAAGGGTGGACTGGAGTAGTTGAGTTCAACGAATCAGGATAAAAATACTTGAGCTTTTATTTCTAAGTTTTTATCTTCATACTTATTCAACCCCCCTTCTAAGTATTTTCTCACCTTCAGTTGGCACCAGAGCTCCGGTTCTGTGTGTGCTACCACTTCATAGTGACAGAAAAGATCCAATGAGAAAAACTTTGATATATATTTGGTTGTTACTATGGCTGATAATTCAATGTCTAACATTAACAACAAATATGAAGAAAGGGACAGAATTAACACTAAACCCCCTATGTTTGATGGGGAGAAATTTGATTATTGGAAAGACAGGATTGAAAGTTTTTTCCTTGGTTATGATGTTGATTTATGGGATTTGGTCATAGATGGATATGTTCATCCCATTGATGGGAATGGCAAGAAAGTAGATAGAAAATCTATGACAGAAGCCCAAAAGAAGGAATTTAGAAATCACCACAAGGCTAGAACAATATTGTTAAATGCAATATCTCACACTGAGTATGAAAAGATCACAAATAGAGAAACTGCATTTGACATCATGAGGGAAACTCTCAAGCCAAGGAAACAAAGGCTCTGACTCTAATCCAGAAGTATGAAGCCTTCAAGATGGAAGAAGCTGAATCTGTTGAAGCTATGTTCTCCAAATTTCAAATACTTACGGCTGGACTAAAGGTTTTGGATAAAGGATACTCTACTATTGATCATGTGAAAAAGATCATCAGAAGCTTACCTACCAGATGGAGACCTATGGTGATTGCGCTGAAAATGGCTAAAGATCTGAACAAGATCTCCTTGGAGGAACTAATCAGTTCACTAAGGAGTCATAAAATTAAACATGAGGAAGATGAACCTCAAAAGAAAGGTAAATTAATTGCTTTAAAATCTAATAAATCTGCTAAAGCATTGCAGGTAATAGAGGAAAGCTCTGAAGAATCCTTATCTGAAGATGAAGATGAACTATCCATGTTGTCTAGAAGAATAAACAAACTCTGGAAGCATAAAGGAAAGAAGTTCAGAAACTTCAGGAAGCCTGACCAAAGAAAAGAATCTTCTGGACACAGAAGATCTGGCAAAAAGGAGGTTATCTGCTATGAATGTAAAGAACCTGGGCATTACAAAAATGATTGTCCAAAGTTGTTGAAAGAAAAGCCTAAAAGAAAATCTGATAAGAAGAAGAAGGTTCTAATGGCCACCTGGGATGATTCCGATACATCTGAATCTGAATCTGAGTCAGAAGAGGAATGTGTCAATGTAGCATTGATGGCAGACATAGAAGATCAGGAGGAAGGATCTGAATCTGATTCTGAATCTGAGTCAGAAGAGGAATGTGTCAATGTAGCATTGATGGCAGACATAGAAGATCAGGAGGAAGGAACTTCAGGATCTGAATCTGATTCTGAATCTGACTCTGATGCTGAAGAGGTAATGGCTAAACTCACTAAAGATGAATTTATCAAAGTGTTATCAGAAGTTCTGAAAAGCTATAACAATATTAAGCTCAAATACAAGAAGCGTCAAAGCAATCTTGTATCTGAGAATAATATTCTTAAATCATAAGTAGCTGAGCTAAATGAAAAGAACTTAAGATTGAAAAATGATTCTGAATTAGCTTAACAAGACTCTGATTCTGAAACTGAGTCTGAATGCAAAAATATTTTGGAAAAATATGATTACAGATTTCAGAAGTTTCTTGCTAAAAGCATAGACAGAAGCAAAATGGCTTTTATGATCTATGGAGTTAGCAGAAATAACAGAAAAGGAATTGGATATAAATCTTCCTCTAGAAAGGATTTGAATCCAAAACCTGTTAATAAAATTATCATCAAGAAAACTCCTTTATATTCCCACTTTAAATTTGGTCACTTGAATGATATTGAACACACTCGTTCTGAAAAGAATATTCATGTGTTTAAATCTAAGGCTAGTCAGAATAAACCTTATGTTGAAAAACAGAAGTTTAGACAAACCTTCAGAACAACTAACCCAAAAGGACCCAAGAAGATCTGGGTACCTAAAAGTAAAATAATTCATGTTGCAGATGTTCTTAGCAGCAAGGTTAGGACGCCAATCATGGTACCTGG